AAAATACATTTTCTAGGTTGCACGCTGCATCAAAGCATAGCATAGCTTTATTGGCAGCCTCCTCTAGCACTTATCTAAAGTACTTTTTGAACACAATGTATTTGTCACGTCCCGAATCCTATTATCATACTGTTCATCTGGACTTGTAATACATCTCACACTAAAAACTAGCTTTATGAAAGTTGTTTTTTAAGATGGGTTGGATGACAGTTGTCTGCAGACAAATAGTTATTCTTGTTTGTTGGCTTGAAGAATAGCTCAGGCAACCATCATGCTGATTTATCTTAAGATCAAGAGATTGTATCTGCTCACAACTGCTTGATGGTAAATGAGATTGTTGGAATATACAAATTTAGATATGAATGAGATTTCATTAATTTGTCCTGCATGCCTTGCAAATTAAAAATATAACATTTATATATCTCAGCCATTAGATGTACTGGCTGAGGTACAGAGGATGCATGTACAAAAAGTTTTCAGTTAGCCATAAATAAATTTTGTAGCTGGGTGCCATATTGGACCCACGACTGTCCCCTAGACCTGTAAGAAAAAATTGACCATTAGAACTAAAGCAGTTCTTTGTCAATACAATATGGAGCAAGTCCAATAAAAAGTTACATTTTTTCTTAAAAAACTTACAAAAGTTAAAAGAATGCCACAGACCACCCAATTGTGGGAATAATGTGGACAGGCTATTGCGTTCAAAGTACATAGTATGCACTTAATTGGTACTCTACTCACATACTGTTGGTGATTCAAGAAGTCCATGGTGTCCTGGAGACAGAATGGCATAACTAACTCTTTAGGTTGAAGAACCAAATCTAAAAGTTCTGCAAGCAATTTAAAAAGGTTAACTACATTTTCTGTGTGCTGGTTCTGTTTCCTTTTGTTGTATTTCCTAACAACATAGTGCCAAAGGAGGAGGAGGTTGAGCAGGTGGCTGTCAAAATACTTGAACAGTGGCTGCTTCTGATTGGATTTAGCAGTTGTTCAGCCTAAATGTTTCTCTGCTGTTGTTTACTTAGAGCCATCTGAGATACTGGGGAGCTCCCTGTCTGATCCCTTTGACAAGCTTACTTTGACACCTTAACAAAAACATTTGTTTGTACTGTTGGTGCAGTATATTGGTGAGAGGATGAACTGGACACCTTAGCTGCCATTGTTCTATATGCTGGGTGTCCAGTGCCCCCCTGTGACTTTCAGGAGGGGTAGACTCCCTCAAGGATTACCTGCCCTCAGTCTATCCATTATTATACATGTGCTTCTACTATGGAGGCTCTCAAAAATGTATAGAGTTAGGACTGCAGAACACTGGGATGCCATGAAGAGGCTCTGCAGGTTACACTTGTATTTGCAAATGTGTGAAAACTAAACCCATTTTTAATGTGAACTGTTAGACAGGACAATTTGGTTAGTTGCAGGCTGGTTGGAAAGTTGAGCTTGGAATTTTTCTTTGTTGTGATTTCTGTTTGAGCCTTTCCACTGCTATAGCACTGGCATCCAAGTCTGACCCCTGAGTGTGACAGAATAATTTGTCTAAAACATAGAAGTCTCTATAGCAACTGCTGTGGCTCCATTCAGGCAGAAAATTGCAGAGCTACAAGAGTTTGGTGTTACCTACCAATAAAAACTGTGATGAAAGGGCAACAGGAGGAAATCCATGCTCTGCAGATACAGTTGAGGATTCTAACACAAGTATGCTTCTACCACTCAACTCAACTGCCATCATTACAGAGATTTCCCTAACCTGTATTTGCCTGTTTACTTAACCTGTATTTACTTTTGAGAAAAAGAAGGTAGTGTTTGTTATTAACCTTCTGACTGGGGAAGCTCTAGCTTTGGTCTCCTCCTATATAGAACAAGACAGCTCAATTCTGAATAATTTGAGTCTTTTGTGACTGCAACTGTTGCACAACTGCCGAAGCAAAAGTTGCATGGTCTGTGGCAGTGTAGACGCTCTGTTGTGGAGTACACATCTGAATTCCGATGTTCGATCTCAGATACCACTTGCACCACAGCAGTGCTAAAGAGCAAGTTCTGCCAAGGGCTCTCTGAACAGGTAAAAAGGCAAGCTCTCCAGAGTAGAGACTCCTGATGATCTTGAGGCTTTCATCCAATTATGTATCTGAATTGATCAAAGACTTACAGAAAGGAGGAAGGAGAGATTGGGAATGTTTGGATATAATGTTGTCTTGCATTTCTGCTAGTCAGATCATTCAGAAGAATCCAAAAGCTTCTCTGGTTTCTAACACTCCTGAAACTATGCAGGTTTATGCTATTAAAAGATAAATTTCTGCTCAGAAGAAAGAGAGAAGATGTTCAAATAACTTATGTTTATGTTGTGGGGACTTTGAGCATTACAAAGGTTATTGTCCCATCAAAGTTAAAAAAACAATTGTTGCGAGTGATGTTTTAGTGCCTGAGTAAATAAATTCAATTACTCATTCTGTCTCACCAATAATTCAGGAAGCAGATAAAGTTAATTCTCTATTTCATTTTGTCATTGCTATTAAACATATCACTGAAGGCCATGAAATTCCTTACTCTGCTATGCTGGAGTGTAGGGCTTGGGGGGAACGTTTTGGAGATCGAATATTATTGTTTTTGCAAACTCTAACAGTTCCTCTTGAACTCCAATTTGAGGCTAAACACCATGAGACTATCAGCTTTCAGCTGGTTACCTGCCTCAGATTTCTTGTCTTCCTGGGTATTCCTTGGTTTTGCACCCATAATCCATCCATAAACTGGGGGCATGGATTATAAATTTTATGTCCCCACTTTGCAAGGAACCTTGTCAAAAAAGTTCTCTGTTGATCAAGGAATTGCAAGTTGATGGTAACTACTCAGACATATGAAGAGCTTCCTCCACAGTACTATGAGTTATGGGATGTTTGTGATAAAAAAGAATGCTGATAAATTACCCGTTTGTTGCCCATACAATTATCCCATTGAACTACTCGCAGGAGCAGCAGTTTCTTTTGGTTATATTTTTAATCTGAATTAAAGGTGCTCAGGGAGTGGCTTGATGAGAATTTAGAAAAGGCCTTTATCAGACACTTAACATCCCCTGCAGGAGCAGCCCTGTTCATTGTTGAAAAAAAAGCCTCCACCTTGTGTTCATGCATTTGATTACAGGGATAAAAGTTGTTACCTACTTCCTTTTATTCCTGAAATGTTTTTTACCAAACTAGATGTGTGGGAGGCATATAACCTTGTCTGCATTCATCAAGGAGAAGAATGAAATACTGATTTTATAACCAGATATGGACATTTAGAATCTTTGGTCACACCTTTTGACTTTTGAAATGCTCCTGTAACTTTTCGTCAGTGATGTCCTGCAGGATCTATTGGACCAGTTTGTTATTGTATACCAGGGTGATATCCCTATCTTTTCTGATAATCTAGAGGAGAATTGCAAGCATGTCTTCATTGTCTTTAAAAAATAAATGAAGAATCAACTTTAAATCAAATTGGAAATATATGAATTTGACCAAACCTAGATTCAGTTCTTGGGCTACGTCATTTCTCCTGAAGGAGTGAGCATGGATCCTAATAAGATCAAAGCAGTGGTGGATTGACCTACCCCTTGAAATGTTAAAGAAATACAACTATTTGTTGGATTTGCCAACTTCTAAAGAAAATTCATACAGAACTAATCTAAGGAAATAGCACCAATTATGCAGCTAACAAGAAAAGGAATGTCCTTTGTGTGGCCACCAGAGGCACAGGCTGTTTTTAGTAAACTAAATATTCTATTCACTTCTGCAACAATATTGGTACATCCAAATCCTGAACTACCTTTTATTGTGGAAGTTGATGCTTTAGATTCTGTTGTGAAAGCTATCCTTTCACACTGAAGAGGGGAAAGTGCAACTTCATTTTGCTTTTTTCTCTCGCTTACTATCTTCAGTGGAAAAGAATTATGACCTTGGGAGTTAGGAGGTGCTGGCAATTAAGGAAGCTTTTTCAGAATGGAGGTATCTGCTAAAACGGGCTAATCAATTTGTAACTGTTCTCACTGAACAAAAAAATTTGGAATTCATTTCTTCTGCCAAGAGTGTCTTATAGACAAGCATGTTGGTCACTGTTCTTTTCCAGATTCAGTTTTAAAATCTTGTATTGACCTGAGTTAGGGAATTGTAAGGCTGATGCCATATCGTGGATGTTGTCTGGGCCTCTCCAAAAAGAAACTATAAGGACTCATGAACATTGGACATTTTTACAGCTGCTGTTTTGGGTGTCAGAATTTTTTTTCTAACTGCCTCTAAACTCCCCTGCATGTTAGCCTATGTGTCCTTGCACACATAGGCTTTTAGCAGCGTCTTCTGGCAGGAGAGTTTAATGGCAAAGAGAAAACCCTCTGCCACAGCATTCTGGAGCAGCAACGTTTTGGGAGAAAAAATGCTGACAGCTCCTAACCTCTACCAAACTCTCCTAAATTCTGCTAAATGTTGGCAACCAGCATTTAGCAGAGTTTTTTTTTTTTAAGCAGAGGTCGCTGGCATCCTTAACAACCAATGAATAGCTGGTTGTTATGAAACGGCTGGGAAGCCGGTCACCATGTCCTTAAAAATGGATGAGTCATCAGCTGTCAGCAGGTTTCCTGCTGACAACTGAATGTAAGCAAAACAATTGCTGGCAGTTAAAAAATTCCGGAAAAAACAACACTAGGGTCTCCCCCAATCCGAACCAGGTCCTTTGGGTCTTGTATGGATTTTTAGGGGAACCCCATGGCAATGTGGGATTCCCCCCAAATCCATACCAGACCCTTAGGGTGTGCCATGGGAGGCTCATTTGTGTCACCTCTCCCCTCCATGTTTCCTTAGTCTCCGTCAACATCTAATTTGCAATAAAAATAAAATTTATATATATATATATATATATATATATATATATACACACACATACTATGTTGCTAAATGTATTGGGACACCCCTCCAAATAATTGGATTCAGGTGTTCTAATCACCTTCATGGCCACAGATGTATAAAATCCAGCACCTAGGCATGCAGACTGCTTCTACAAACATTTGTGAAAGAATGGGTCACTCTCCTGAGCATAGTGAATTCAAGCATGGTACTGTGATAGATTGCCACCTGTGCAATAATTCCATCCGTAAAATTCCCTTGCCAGTAAATATTCCATGGTCAACTGTTGGTGGTATTATAACAAAGTGGAAGCAACTCAGCCACGAAGTGGTAGACAATGTAAAATGACAGAGCAGGGTCAGCGCATGCTGAAGTGCACAGTTTCTGAAGAGTCATTAGCTAATGGACTCCAAACTTTGTGTGGCCTTCAGATCAGCACAACAATGCATAGAGAGCTTCATGGAATGGATTTCCATGGCTGAGCCGCCACTGGACGCTAGAGCAGTGAAGATGGGTTCTCTCGAGTAACAAATAATGCTTCTCTGTCTGGCAATCCAATGGATGTGTATGGGTTTGGTGGCTGCCAGGAGAACGGTAGTGCCTGACTGCATTGTGCCAAGTGTAAAGTTTGGTGGAGGAGTGATTACAGTGTGGGGGTGTTTTTCAGGGGTTTTGCTTGGTCCCTTAGTTCCAGTGAAGGGAACTCTTAAGACATCAGCATACCAAGAAATTTTGGACAATTTCATTCTCCCAACTTTGTAGTAACAGTTTGAGGATGGCCCCTTCCAGTTCCAACATGACTGCCCAGCAGTGCACAAAGCAAGGTCCATAAAGACATGGATGAGTGAGTTTGGGGTGGAGGAACTTGACTGGCCTACACAGAGTCTTGACCTCAACCCGATAGAACACCTATGGGATGAATTAGAGTGGAGACTGCAAGCCAGGCCTTCTCGTTTGACATCAGTGCCTGACATCACAAATGCACTTCTGGAAGAATGATCAAACATTCCCATTGTAACAGCTTTCCCAGAGAACAGTTGAAGCTGTTATAGCTTCAAAGGGTGGGCCAACTCAATATTGAACCCTATGGACTAAGACTGGAATGACATTAAAGTTCATGTGCGTGTAAAGGCAGGTGTCCCAATACTTTTGGCAATATATTGTGTGTGTGTGTGTGTGTATATATGTATATATATATTGTGGGGTTAGCTCAGGTGGGGGATCTCCTTCCCTGGGAAAAAGGTAGACCGCACAGCAGGCTTTCGTCAAAATCTGACTGGTTGTCAGTTTTATTTAAAAGGTTTGCAGAAAATATCAAAATAAACAAAACATCAAAATAAACCCTTGCCATCCAGGCACTAACTAAACAGAAGACGTTTCCTCTCTCAGAGGTGAAGGGCTTCTCCCTGTCACCAAAAAAAAAACAAAAGCAAACCTTTTCTTGTAGGTATAGAGTACACACAGCTCTCTCAGAATACCCTCTCTGAGTCCCAGGCCATGAGCTACTCCTTGCTCCAGCCCTGCCCTTTTTGTATCACCTGTTGGTGGTCATTAGTGGAGCCCAAACTCTGGTCCGGAACCACCTCTGCCATTGTGGCCCCGAAAACCCGGAGTGGACTCCACCTTACACCTCACAGTATGACCTCATGCGAGGTGACACATATCGTCCATCCATCACTTTGCCGTTCATACTGTCACATATCCCCCCCTGCTCAAGCCCCTGCGGCTGAGCAACTGTCCCAACCAGGCAATGGACCCGGGAAAGGGCATCTACATTACTTTGTAGTTTTCCCCGCTCTGTGTTCCACTGTGAATTTGAACACTTGTAGCGTGAGAAACCACCTTGTCACTCGACTGTTTTTCTCCTTATTATCACACATCCATTTGAGCGGGGCATGATCAGTAACCAACTTGAACGGTCTTCCTAACAGGTAATATTTCAGGGCCTCCAAGGCCCATTTGATGGCCAAACATTCCTTCTCCACAATGGCATAGTTTCTCTCATGTTTGTTGAGCTTTCTACTTAGGTAGACCACAGGGTGCTCCTCCCCTTCTCTGATTTGGGACAGGACAGCACCTAGTCCCACATCAGAGGCATCAGTCTGTACCACAACCTCTGTTGTGAAATCTGGGGTCACAAGCACAGGTTGAGCACAGAGAGCTTGTTTCAGCCTTTGAAATGCGGTCTCCGCTTCGGGATTCCACTTGACCATGACCGACCCCCTACCTTTTGTCAGATCTGTCAGTGGGGCCGCAATGGTGGCAAAATTGGGAATAAACCGCCTGTAGTATCCCGTGATTCCAAGAAATGCCCAGACTTGCTTTTTATTTACAGGTTGGGGCCACTTTTGAATTGCCTCGATTTTATTTATCTGAGGCCTAATGAGACCTCGACCAATAATGTAGCCAAAATATTTGGCCTCCTCCAAGCCTATGGCACACTTTTTGGGGTTGGCGGTAAGACCTGCTTCCCTCAGCGAATCTACTACTGCTTGCAAGCAGGACAAATGAGACTCCCAGTCTGGACTGTGGATGACGACATCGTCCAAATAGGCAGCTGCATATTGGCGATGTGGTCTTAGTTAGCGTTTTGTCCATCATTCGTTGGAATGATGCCGGAGCACCATGTAAACCAAACGGCATCCGCTTATACTGAAAGGACCCCTCGGGGGTAGAGAATGCCGTCTTTTCTTTTGCAGCTTCCGTTAAAGGAATCTGCCAATAGCCTTTGGTTAAATCTAAGGTGGTTATGTACCGAGCCATTCCCAACCTGTCAATGAGCTCATCCACCCGAGGCATCAGGTACGCATCAAACTTAGACACACTGTTCAGTTTCCTGAAATCATTACAGAAACGAATTGTTCCATCTGGTTTTGGGACCAACACTATGGAACTCGACCACTCACTGTGAGATTCCTCAATCACTCCCAACTCTAACATGTCCTTTATTTCCTTTGCCACTGTTTCCCGCCTGGCCTCGGGTATTCTATAGGGCTTGACATTTATGCGGACCCCGGGCTGGGTAACTATGTCATGCTGTATGACCGTCGTCAGTCCAGGTAGGTGAGAGAAGAAATCTCCATTTTTCCTCACAAACTCCTTAACATCATTTTGTTGGGCTACTGACAAGGTTTCCGTTATAGGTACCTGAGGGGCCATGGGAACCACGTCCTTTTGGGGGCTTGGTACTGCCAACAAACTTTCCCTGTCTTTCCAAGGTTTTAAGAGATTAACATGATAGATTTGTTCGGGTTTCCTTTTCCCTGGCTGGTAAACTTTATAATTTACTTCCCCCACTTTCTCCCTAATTTCAAAGGGACCTTGCCACTTTGCGAGGAATTTACTTTCCACGGTGGGGACTAGCACCAGCACTCTATCCCCAGGGTTGAAGGTATGGATCCTGGCACCCCGGTTATAAACCCTTCTCTGGACCTCCTGGGCTTGCTCCATGTGTTCCCGAACAAGTGGCATGACAGCTGCGATTCTATCCTGCATCTGTGAGATATGCTCGATGACACTTCTATAGGGCGTGGACTCTGTCTCCCAGGTTTCTTTTGCAACATCTAGCAATCCCCTGGGATGTCTACCATACAGTAATTCAAAAGGTGAATATCCTGTAGATGCCTGAGGTACTTCCCGTATAGCAAACATGAGATATGGTAGCAAAAAATCCCAATTTCTCCCATCTTTGTCCACCACCTTTTTTAACATATTCTTAAGGGTCTTGTTAAACCTTTCCACAAGCCCATCGGTTTGGGGGTGGTAGACCGAGGTACGGAGATGGGAGATTTTGAACAATTTGCATAACTCTTTCATAACTCTAGACATAAATGGCGTGCCCTGATCTGTTAATACCTCCTTTGGAATACCTACACAACTAAACACCTGGACAAGCTCTTTGGCGATATTTTTAGCTGAGGTATTACGCAAGGGGATGGCTTCAGGATACCGGGTGGCATAGTCAAGTATCACCAGTATGTGCTGATGGCCCCGGGCAGACTTTACTACTGGACCCACTAGATCCATGCCCACTCTTTCAAACGGTACTTCAATTATGGGTAGAGGTCTGCGAAAATGGGGTGAGGGCGCAGAATATTGACATTCCGGGCATGACTCACAATGCGCTTTGACGTCTCCATGTAAGCCTGGCCAAAAGAATCTCTGGGTTATTCTCTCCTTTGTTTTCTCTACACCCAGGTGTCCACCCATTATATGCCCATGGGCTAAATCCAGTACCATCCGGCGAAAGGGTTTGGGGACCACTAACTGTTCTACCACCTCCTCCCCTTGCTTTACCACTTGATACAGCAAGTTATTGTTAAGCGCCATGTAGGGAAAAGACACCCCTACATCATTTTCAACTGGTTCCCCATCAACCATTTTAATATTTTCTCTGGCTCTATTAAGAGTGGAATCTTTCAGCTGTTCTGTACAGAAATCCTCCTTTCTGACCTCTAGGTCAGGTACGACATTCTGTCCACTCCCACTAGAACCCCGAGATAATTTCTTGTTCCGTATCTTCAATGTCTGGGGTTGGATCCAACTCCTCCTGCTCCCCAGCCATTACAGAGAAAGGGAAAAGGTCTAAACCTTCCTTGGACACACCAACAGTTTCCCCTTCCACCTTGCCGTCAAAGGGGTCAGGAGTGAGTTGAGGAGTTTTCAGTGTTTCCCCAGCAGGGGGAGCTCGGTCCTCCTGACTCCCCTCCTTATCCCATAACTTCCAGAAATGGGGAAAATCTCTCCCCAATATGGCTTCATGAAGCAGAAAGGGCACCATCCCCACTGAATGGGTCACAGGGCCCCAGGGGGTATCAATCTCCACCATAGCAGTCTGGTAATTACGTGTATCACCATGAATACAAATAACCCCAATCGTGCTAGGGTGTAAGCTTGCAGGGTTTACCAAATCACTTTTAACCAAGGTCACAACACTACTCGAGTCTAGCAGAGCAGTTACTGGCTTTTCATCAATTGCAATCACAAACATTTGTTTTTCCATGCGTTTCTGACATGCTGCAGTACATACCACCTGTGCAAAAAGAGACATGCGTTTTCCTACATAAGCATTTTCACATTGCATAGGTTCATCATTTAAAGGACAGTTTGCAGCAATATGACCTAACGCATGACACTGATAACATTTGATATGTTCAGTACCTAACCCTCTAAACGGCTTTGGGGACCTTCCTGACCTATTTGGCCAGTCTCTAGGTCCTAAGCCTACAGTCTCATTATCTGACACAATAGTCTTATCATTTTTTTCTGAGCCTTTGGCCCATGGAACAGTCTTACCGGATCTTCCGGATAGTTTTCCACCCCTAGTGACATTGGGGTACGGCCCAGGTGAATGAAAAAAGTCCTCAGCGGCTGCATATCTCTCCACCAGGTCCACCAGCTCGTTTGCAGATTTAGGGTCTCCATGGCCAACCCACTTCCTCAAAGTGGCAGGGAGCGCACGTAAATATTGGTCCATGACCACACGCTCCACAATCTGAGGGCCTGACAATACCTCTGCCTGGAGCCACTTTTTGGAGAGATGTATCAAATCGAACATCTGAGATCTGGGTGGTTTGTCAGCCCTGTAATGCCACTGATGCACCCGCTGAGCCCGGACTGCAATGG